AGAAAACAGGTGACAAAAGAGAACATGCATAAGACATGGTAGGAAACTCATATCTAAGGATTAATAAAGGCTGGCCATGTTTGGCCTTGACTGAAAGCAAAGTTTTCTCTGAGGCTGATTTATATTTAGCTTCCTTCTGTTCTTTACAATTGGTAAAACCAGCTCCAGCAACACTTCTTTTGAAGTATTCGAAGGCCACAAGGAGAAGTGAAAAAGAGCACAGGATTTAAAGCAAGAAGAACCTAGCTCAAGTCAGCCACTTATGGGGCTGCATGCCCTTGGGAAAGTTCTTTTATCCTCTCTGAGTTTCAGTTCTTTTATCTGTAAAATGGGGATAAAAATATCTAGCTCTTATCAAGAGCTCTTTGTAAAGTCTAAGGTTTTATGTAAATGTTACTTCTTATTTTGAACCCATTGAGCAAGGATGTTAAGATGTCCCTCAAATGACAGGTTGTATAGAAAGTGTCTTTAATTGGAGTTTCAAGATGCGGATCATGCCTTCTGATGTGCTATTGCTTCTGCGGGTCTTTCGTCAGCTGTCTGAGTCCCTTTTTACAGAAATGTGTAAGGGAAAGGAGTTACCACTCTAACATTTTAGCAAATGCGGGAATTATCTCTCTTTTACCATTCCTGGCTGGGGTCAGTCACCCAGCTTGGTTGGAACATTCCCACTGAGCATGCTGCCCCACGTGGCATTCCATTTTGGTAGAAAATTCTACGCCGATGAAATGTGGACAGATAGTGTTGGGAAGATAAATGAGTAACATTTGTGAAAGTATTTGAACTCTTCAAAAGAAAAGACCCACACTGATTCCAGGGATTTTTGTAAGATCATTGGAATTTAAAATATGATATTTTGGTCAATTAACGTCTGTTCTGATTTTTTTGCCTCTTAGTTTCGGAGAGGCCAAGGGAGAGGGCCCACGGACCTCATTTTTTTTAATTACTAGAAATAAGTAAGATGCACAGCAGAAGTCATCATGTAATTGTGGCAATGCATTAACTATCACTACATGGTACCACCACCCTTCCCACAAACATCCTCAGTCTCCACTCACATGTCACAGCCTTTACAGAGCTCAGCATCCTATACACCCACCCAAATCAGGCCCATCCGTAATGCTCCAAAGTGCGAGGATAAGACTCAACCAACCAACCATGTGCTAGATGCTGTATAATCTGCTGCAGATACAAAATAAATAGCCAAGAATCCCTTCCTAGAGGGGGTTTGCCTGGGGGTGGGGGGCAAATAGATGCAAAAAAAAAAAAAAAACCTCCATTACAGAATAGAGTGACAGGAACGCTGATAGTGGGGTGAGGTTTCACAAAGGAGTGGGGAGATCGATGCTCCCTAAGAGGGTTATAGGGGCAACTTCACAAAGAAGGTGACCCTAAAACTGAATCTGGAAGGACAACAGTAATTCTTCACATAAACAGTGATGAGAAGAGGATTTCAACAAGGGAGGAGGATATCCAATGGGATGGGGGTAAGAAGAGGCAGGCACAGGCCCACTTGGAAGTAGCTCAGGGAAACCTGGCTCGGAAGGAACAGGAATGCACACCAAGGGATGCAGACTGAGAGAGAAGGGAGGGACCAACTCGCACCCTTTATGCCAAGAAAGGAGTCTGGACTTCAACAGAAGGTGAGAAAGCCACTGAAGGAAGTGGTGATGAGGTGACACTCAGAAGATGAGTGATGAGTATATATCAAGAGGTCAGAGCAACCGAGGACAAGGAGAGCAAAGGTTGACACAAACTAAATGCTCCTGCAATGTGCACCAGTGACAGGAACACATTAGCATCCCTTTTGAACTAACATCAATCTTAGATATTGCGGTCAGCAACAAAGGTAGAACAACTGCTTCCAGAAGATGCTTACGAAGTCTTAGAAAGCACTTGGTTATTATCACTTTAAGGAAAGGCAAACTAACTTTTTTGTGTGGCCCTAATGGTAGTTATGACTAAAATGGTAAGTTGATAAGTCAAAAAAGATAATAGATCACAAGCAGTCCCCTTCAGTTTTGTCAGATAACTCAAACATTATGTTACACCAATAACCTTATTAAGAGACTTGAAGGTCAACAGGCATGCAGGAGTTTAACAGATAATGACAGTGACTTTCTTGTCTTAAATCTCCTCCAGTCTTTGTAACTGTTCATGTTTGGAACTAATCCCAAAGAATCATACTTCTTTATTTCTCCAGCTTTATTGAGATATAATTGACATATAACATTGTATCAGTTTAAGGGGTACAGTGTGTTGAAATTATATACCTATATACTGGGAAATGTGCACCACATTAGCTAACACATCGTTAACTTCACATAACTACCATTTTGTTGTTGTTGCTTTCTTGTTGTTATGGTGAGAACATTGAAGCTCTACTCTACTCTCATGGCGACCTTCAAGTACAATACAGTACTGTTAATCATAGTCATAATGCTGTACCTTAGATCCTCAGAACTTATTAGAATTGTATCTCTAACTAAAAGCAGTAATTCAAGGCTTAAAGGTGGGGGGAAAACCCAGAACAGATGAAAAGCCTAAGAAAGGTAACTAGGGAAAGAATAAGAGTTCTTTAGGATCAGAGGTTCTGACTTAGAGGGAAATAATTACAGATATCCTCCAATGGATGCAAGTTAAAGAAATTATAGAATAGTAGAAAATATACCATTTACTTACCAAAAAAAATTAGTACCTCACCATGTTTCACATCTCTAACAGATGGTTTCAAACCTATTCTGAGCATTAGGCAATTGTTAATAGATTATTCTCATTTCCTGTGCTAAAGGATAGAGAGAAGACTGGCTCTAGTGTGTTGGTCAGAATAAGATTAAACAACAGAACTATACATTTAGATCACAACAGTGAAAGATTCCATGCAGTAAGAGGAAGCACATATTAGTTTACCAGATTGGGGAAAAAGGGAAGTGAAACCCTACAATTTTCAAGTTACTGTCCCAAAACTCTGAGGGTAACAAATTAGTTCCAAGAAATTGATTACACCATTTCAGTGGACCAGACAAGAAATGATTTCTGTTTTATAATTCTTTTTAAGTTTTCTAATTTGCCACTTAGTTGAGAAAGCATTAGCAATTTAGGAGCTGGAAACTTGAAGTTATATAGGCATGCCGTCATCCATGTGACATAAGATACCACTAAACTGGTTTTGATATTAGAACAGGGACTAAGGGAAGCTGCTACTTTGTAATACTCAGAATATTTCGATTTCATCACTAACCTCACAGCTTTCCAAGCATATGTACAAGACAAAATTATGATGCCAAAGTATGAAATATAGCTAGTTTCATAACCAGAATGAATTATGGCTAATTCTCCTGTAGTAAACAATCAGATTCTCAAATCTGTATTCCCAGGACAGCCAAGTTAGACCTTACTTTTCTTTTCTTTTTTTTTTAAGAGTCTCCTCCAAAAGAAACATTTTATTTTAAAAATACTTTTTTTTTCTTTCATAGTTTATTGTCAGGTTGGTTTCCATATAACACCCAGTGCTCATCCCCACAAGTGCCCTCCTCCATGCCCATCACCCCCTTCCCCTCTCCCCCACCCCCATCAGCCCTCAGTTTCTTCTCAGCATTCAAGAGTCTCTCATGGTTTGCCTCCCTCCCTCTCCCCCACTATTTTTCCCCTTCTTCTCCCCCATGGTCTTCCGTTAGGTTGCTTTTCAAGTGATTCATTTAAATATGCAATATGTCCGTGGACATTAGGGAGTTTATAGCACAGGGAGGAATGGGGGGACAGAGCCCTTTTCCTTGAGGAGTTGAGTGCAGGGGAGCAGAAAGGCAGTGGATCGTTCAAGAGAATGATGCTGCTTCTAAAAAAAAATACACATAAGTTAATACTTGCCACTTTTTTTTAATTCTGGAATTCAAATGTTCACTCTGAAATATAGTAGATGTTGTCTAACTCTTCAGTCTAAAAATCTTTGAAGCTGGAACCATCCTCATCCCTGGAACTGCCAATTCCTACCAGTATTTCTATGCTGGTAGCGATCACTGTGTTGAATATCCAGTCGTTCATATGTGTAATTTTTGATACTCCTGCCCCAGCTCATATAATCCTATTTTATCTAGACTTTATAAGCTACCACATCTCCAGGTAGTTTGTTTTGTTTTGTTTGGGGTTACTTTGTACTTATTTGACTTTTGTGTGTTTGCCTGTACTAGGTAGACAACCTCTTTGCACAACTACAAAGAGCTCCTTGCCTCCAGCTGGTCTCTTACAAGCACCAGAGACAATACAGATTTGCCAGACTCATCTTTAGACATAGTCTAACTCTTAACACACCGTGACATCTTATTATATCAGTGAACGTGATAGGTGGGACAGTTACAGATTCTATAGCCTCATTACACTAGCTTGAAATAGGGTTTAAAAAAAACTTGACAAGTCTAAATAAGAATACCTGGGGGAAAAGACATACTAAGTTCTATGTAAATAAAAAAGAAAAGAAAGTAAAAGATTGTCCTGTGACCAAAACAGAAGTTATTGCTGGTTACTGCAACAATGATTTGAAATAAACATAAGGGCCTAGTTCTCAAATAAGAGGGCAAGAAGAGTGCTAATGGTCCTCAGAGTTCCAACAAATAGTTCCTGGACGACCCTCAAGTGGTAAGCCGTGGCCTGGACCCTGAACATATGGAGATAAAAGACAGAAAAGTCACTGAGAGCTCAGAGGCCAGCAAATGGTGTTGCCACAATACAACACATTCTGTGTGGAACAGAGGGAAGCTCAGAGTGAGTGCTTGGAGAGGAGGGCATTAGGGAAGACATCCTCACACAAGAATGACTTGGATCCTCTGATTAGGTCAGCTAAACAATCAGAATGGGCCCTGAGTAAGTAGAAAACTAGCCTAAATTGTGTCTTATGTGTCTTATGTCTCTTCAATGTCTTAAAAATAATGTAGATAATAATAAGACAGATGTTTGTCAGTGTGTGCTTTTAATTATTTACTGACTAACTGCTGGTTCTTTTTCAGAATGCCCTGGCTAAAGCTAGCATAAAAGAACTTGCCACACTGCATGGCACCAAGTACACATATGGCCCAGGAGCTACAACAATCTGTGAGTCTTGGCTTCAGAACTGTGCAAAGACATCGCATGCCTAAAATGGCGACAAACGGTTCCCAGAGACTTTCCTTAGATCATTTAAAGCATGTGGCTTTTGCCTGAGAGTGAATTTTTTATACAACATGTCATCAGTTTTCTGTTCAGAAAAAATGTCCCTTTCAACCCACGAAAACATTTGCTCTATATAAACATCCATTGAGCTCCCACTACTATGTGCCAGGCCGTACTAGGTGCTAGGGAAGAAAGGAAGGATGGAGAGAAGGCAAGAGAGGAGACGGGGAAGGAGGGGGACCAGCACGGTCTTCTAAGAACCCACAGTAGGGAAGCAGGACAACTAAATACAGGGGTGCTAAGTTCTATGGCAGAGGATGCGCAAGGAAGGAGCACCCCCTAGGACCAAGCGGCCCATCCCACGGTCTCAGGGATGCCTCCCCGGGAGAATGAACCAGAAGCGTCACCTGGAAGAACAACTGCTGGAGAGAAGCATAAGGAGTGTTTTCCTGACTAAACAGCCTGCAGATGTGATGGCTAATTTGGGCTCAGGCCCCTTACGAGGGATAGATGTCAGCCCCTCTGACCAGTCACTCGGTGTGGTAGAGCAAATGACAAGAGACACACAGCAAGAGGGTTCATAAGGACCGGACCCCAGAGTGCAGATTTCACCTAGATGCTACAGAGTTTAAGTTTCACGGGGAAGGCACATCCTGCAGGCCCCATTCTCCATTTCTACTTATATTTTTGTTTGTCTTTACATGATTTCTTTTTGCCCCAGATCTGAAAGGACTAAAAATACATGGGAAAAGAGCCGTTCCTGTCATCACAGGGCCTCCTGTGCATTTGGAAAGGCCTAATCCTGGGTTGTTGTTTTCTTTCAAGTTTTATGTAGAATACAGTTCTCTGTACTCTTTGCCTTAGTAACTGCTCTGGATCATATGGGGTATACTGTTTCCTTACGGGGTCCCAACAGAAACATCCCACTTGGTCATATATTGTAAACTTCCTGCATGTTTTACTCAGACCAGTTCAATGAAGGTCCCTTTTCCATTAAACCATAAACCTTGGAGGGCAGAAGTCACATCTTTCCTCTATCCTAGCCCCTCCGGCGTACAGCCCATGGCCTGCTGCCCAGTGGGGGCTGTGCAACTGTTGACTGAATACACAGATCAAAGGATGAATTGATGAAGTAAGAAATGAACGACTGAACAAATGAACTAGTGACTGAATAAATACAAAATCCACATGGTAGTAACATCATTACCGTTACTGAATGAATAACTGGAAAATGCCCAATCTGTGCCAGACCATACACTAGACTCTGAGGAAACGAATATAAAAACACAGACCCGCCCTCAAGATGCTCCAATTTCATCATTCAGGGTTGTTTCCTAAGGATTGGAGTTCTCACCTGTCACCAGTCTTCATGGAGCTTACCTTATTTTCCTAGGATACAAACATTCTTTTCCCAGAAATTACATGTATTTTGTAAAAAAATTACATGTTACAGTTTACCATAGCACACAAGCACAGTAAGAAGTTTATATTATATTATAAATATAAACTATATTTATTTATATTTATATTATATTAAGTGGAGTATTAAACACATCATTCCCACTAATTAAGCTTAAAGGTAAGACTGGGCTGATTTTTTAAAATACACCGTATCTTTTATAATCCAGTTTTCCATAATAGTTTGCCCTATAAAACGTGATTACAAAAGAAAGATGGTGTGTTTTGTTTTTTTTTTTAATTTCCTTCCTGGATTTTAAGTTTTTTTGGTTTTTTGTTCTGTTTTTCTGCTGTCTGCACATCGCAGATCCTGCTGCTGGGGGCTCTGACGACTGGGCTTATGACCAAGGAATCAAATATTCCTTTACCTTCGAACTCCGGGATAAAGGCAGATACGGCTTTGTCCTCCCTGAATCCCAGATTCGGCCAACGTGTGAGGAAACGATGCTGGCCATCAAGCACCTTGCCAGATACGTCCTGGAGCATCCATACTAGCAGAAAATGCTGACAGCCTTGCTTCCAAGTGCACACGCTTCATCTAGTTTCTATCCTGAATTCTTATTTTTGTTTCCCTGGGTATTTTCCAGATCCTAAACTTTCTTTTACGCTTCTGGGTCTATTAAACTACTTGGATCTCTTAATACTGATAATAATAAAAGTGAATCTATTACAATGAGAAACCTGACAGGCTGCCTACCTCTTTAGAAAAAGGAAATTATATGAACAAATGACTCAGCAAGCCATACAAGGGTGTTGAAGTGGATCAGCCACATAGGAGTTGAAGTCCTCAGGGATCTGCCAACACTGGCAGACTGCGGAAATGCACAGGTTATGACAGGGGCTTCTAAGGAAGGAGAAATATAAGTGGAAAGTTAGAAAAACTCAGTTGGGTGAAATACCCCATCTTGGTTTAGTTTTCATCTCAATTAATTCATTTTTTTAAGTTTATTTCTTTATTTTGAGAAAGAGAGAGGGAGAGAGAGGGAGAGAGGGAGAGAGGGAGAGAGGGAGAGAGGGAGAGAGGGAGGGGGAGAGAGAGAGAGAGAGAGAGAGAGAGAGACTCTCCCAAGCAGGCTCTGCACTGCCAGCATGGAGCCTAACCTGGGGCTCAATCTCATGAACCATGAGATCATGACCTGAGCCAAAACCAAGAGTCTTAACCAAATGAGCCACCCAGGTGCCCCTCAGCTCATTTATGAACTGTCTACTACATCCTAAACACTTTGCTAAGCAATCAGGGACAGAGCAATGAAATAGGAAGATATTTCTGCCTTCAATGGACATTTGGGAAGACAGACGTTAGCTATTTAACTAATGATTTAATAATTCATGATTTAATTTGCATGAAGCAAGTAATTGCTGGACAAATTACATAAAAAGAACACATGGAGGAGAAGGCCCTCTCAAGGAATGCTGGAACTTGAAGAATAAGTCACAATTAGCTGGAGGAAGGGAGTGCCTCTTCCACACCCTGTAACTATTCAGAACCTGTAAGAAGAAAATCAGAGAGGGAGGAACCTAGAGAGAGGAAAGAAGGGCTTGTGCAGGGGCTGAGGAGGGAAGTAGAGCCTATGAGGCATAGCAAAGAGGTTAAGGATTTGGAAAATCAGTCTATGAATAATGGGAAGCCATTGAAAACATTAGATTGCAAATTACATGACCAGAGTTTCTAAAACCCCAACCAGCTAAGGTGTGGAAAGCAGGTTGGAAGTAATACAAGAGGGTGGTCAGGAACCTATGTGCACCTATTAGGCCTTAAACCAAAGAAGCAAAAATTATTCTATGATTTTAAGTTTTCCATAATTAGAACAGAACATGCTAATGTTAGAGTGTATTATGCAAAGTTCAAATTTTAAAATATAATAATAGGCTATTTAGTTACAATTTGCAGGCACCTCTTAATTTGTAATTTACTTTACTAGTCTATTTACTTTAAAATATGAGTTCACTGTTTTCTATGTGGATTCAAGTCAAACAGGATTCTATATCTGGCAAAATTTCTTTAAATATGTATGCTGTTCCATTCAAAAAAAGAATCCTTTGAAAATCACCATGGTTTGTTTAGAAGTTGTCAAGCCAAAGAATGATTAATTGCATTAATTGTCCACTAGGTGGTAGCAGTGCTGCTACTACAATTTGTCCAGCAATCATCTGCAAAATAATTTAGTAATACATCATTTAAAGCAGCAGAGAAACAGACATTTAAGCACAAAAAAAGAAATTCACATGAATTCTCAAGCACTATTGATGGTAATAAAAAAAATACATGTAATTTAGCTAAATTACCTTTCCCCTACGTTAAATTATATCCATGTTGGGAATTAGAAAGCTAACTCAGCCAGAGTTACCTAAGTGAAGTTACCTTGCTGAAGGTATCTTTCAATCAACAGGTAGTTCCACAAGACACTGCCATAGTCCACTTCTAGCAGGTAACAGTGACCTCTAACTAAGGGATGTTGTGACCCAAAGTTCAAATGTGTATAAACCATTAAGGAACCCTCCAATGTCTCTGAATTAAGTGTTTTAAATTAGAAATTAGGAATTTTCAAAAATTACAAGGAATTTTTAAGAAAAACAAGGACTAGGGAAGTAAATATGCAAGTATTCTTATTTAAGTTCCAATGTATTCAAGATTTCTTATACCAGAAGCATTTTTGCTCTATCTCTGGCTGACTGAAAGTCAACAGCTATCTGGCTAGGGTTGCCACCTACTTGAGCTAAAACAGAAAGAGATGTCTGCTTTAGACCTTCCCAGTACAATAACACCATATGGCCTCCTGTCCTGTGGACCAGGAACTCTCAGGGGTTCCTACCCAGAAGCCTCTGGCTGTAAGGGCACGTCTGTTCCTCCCTCCTTTAAATTACTCCCACACTTAGATCCCAGGGCAGGCTCTGAGTCCCTCCTCAGTCTCAAGCTCTCATCTTGCCAGAGCAGCAATTAATCAACAGCACAGAAATGGCCCCCTGAATCTTTCCTATCTCAAATGGTGTTACTACAACATAGCAAGGCTGGAATATGGGAATTATGCATACCTAGAATAACATCCTATGTGTTCACCTGTTTTCACCACATAACCTGTATGAATTGCTCAAAAGGAAATTTCAGGCACAGAAGAAAAGGAATCGTGACAGTTAATGAGTTTATCTGGGGGCAAAATGGGGTCTTGATGAGGCTCTTAGGTCACCTCAGTTAAGCAGGTAGTCACTCCCCGTCTAGCCAGGTCTTACACTGAATCGCACACCCGCACCTTCGTCCAGAAATGCCACCTTCCCGTCAACGAATGAAGACAAGTATCTATCTCTGCAGCATTTTGCAAAGCAGCTGCAACAGCCAATATCCATGACACAAGGCAACACATTTTTCTTTCAACACATCCTTTATGACATCTAAAGGTAATCCAGAAGTTTCTTGGATTTTATTTGAAGATGGAGAATTATTTGTAAGATTCTAGTAAAATCACAAGAAAATCTTTACTTTCATTTTCTTTTTCTTTTTTTTTTTTTTTTTTTTAAATGTTTTATTTATTTTTAGGAGAGAGAGAGAGAGACAGCGTGAGCAGGGGAGAGTCGGAGAGAGAGGGAGTCACAGACTGAAACAGGCTCCAGGATCTGAGCTGGCAGTCAGCACAGAGCCCGACGCGGGGCTCGAACCCACGAACCGCGAGATCATGACCTAAGCGAAAGTCGGACGCTTAACCGACTAAGCCACCCAGGCGCCCCTTTACTTTCATTTTCTAAAATACATCTTTTATGGTGGTAATGTTTACTATAAATATGCACAAAATACATAGTTTAAAAAATAAAGCAGTATTTTAAACTGCAGCTATGCATACACTATTGCAAAACTCTGTGGAGGTCAAAGATCCTGAAGGGTGGAAAATTATTGTTGTGGGAGGCATTCAACATTAAATCTTTCTAAAAAAGATTAATTTGACCTACAAAATGAACCACCTCCTTACATAGTCCATCCTATAATGACACGTTGTCCAATAGCTATTCATCCTATTCCATGCATATGCCAAGATCTTTCACAAATTTTTATGCGATAATATAAGATTATACAGAACTATGCCTGCCAAGAAATCACACCTGTTCTGAAAAAAGCTCCAAAATATTCTTGAAATCCATCTACTGTATCTGTTCTTTAGAGGCTAAATAAATTGAGGAGGAGTGAGAAGCCTTAAAAGAAAGCATCACACGTCAACGTCCTATTCTAGAAACAGGGAACAGAAATATGAAACAGATATTAAGAAGTCCAAGATTATTTATAATTAGCCTTAGCCTTAGAGCTACCAGGATCCTTTACACATTTACCTAGAACCTCAAATAAAACAGACGTGTCCTTCCTACCTGACCTGAAAAAAAAACATACAAGCCTTCTCTATAGTTTTAAAACTAGTCACACACACCAAAAAAAATGGCTTTAAGAAAATATATAAGAATGCTATAATCAAGGGTGATTTCTTATTTCAAATTTTCTGTATTTCTCTAAATTATTTTCAGTAGGAATTTATTACTTGGGGAATCAAAAAATAAAACTCCAAAAAGAAAAGCTATAACATAAAAAAACTTTCCTGAACTATCCCCCAGTAAAACAGAGATATTTTACCTCTAAAGAACACAGCCATCCCTTCCATCCACCACATGATACATGCTGATACTCCAGTTGACAGTGGCCAACCATAAGTCTTTTTATCAAGTGCTTAGAAGGCATGGGCATATTTTTTTTCACACCTACCATCCACCAAGAATTTCACAGATGCTATCTCATTTAGCCCTCACAGTCTCTTGCTAGAATCCCAATTTGCAGTTCCATGTTACAGATGAGGAAACCAAGGCCCAGAATGATAAGGCCAGCCTGCTCAAGGTGAAGTAGTCACTCTGAGGTTACAGGTGTCTAACCACAAAGTCAAGCCCTTCCCTTTCCTCTGAACCCCTACCAAATACATGCTTAGAAGCAACAGAGCAAACATTTGCTTTGGGAGTTTCTAAAGTGGATGAGCTTGTCCAGTGTCAAGAACATAAAGGCATTTATCAACCCTTCTTCTCTACTACCTGCAGGGTTGAGCAAGGGAAGCTCCCTGGGGGACACGTTCTAGCATACACCTACCGGATGGAGAGGAATGAAGCTATTGCTGCTGCTGTACGTTACATGGCCATCTCCCCAACAACAGTGTGTATACAAATACAGAACTAGGACTCTGAGAAGTTTCATATAGGATGATCTATATACATTTGTCAATGTGAAGAAGTAGTAGTAGTTTTTATAAGAAAATTCTAATAAGTTATCTGATTAGCTATATTTACTCACTTTGTTAGATTACCTATAATTCTGAGTAAAGGTGCTGCCTTCTCCAAAATAATCCGTAATTAACTGAGTTGTGTTCAAAATTAAAGACCCCTCAAAAGACTATTTAAACAGCCTGTAAGTAACTTTCATTAATTCAACTTTCTGAAAGCATTTATTGAACCCTGCATCCATACCTCAAAGAGAGAAGCCAATGAACAAACATTTGAGCGA